CAGGGCCATCTGACAGTTATCAGCTGCCTTCAGAGTCAGAGTTCAGTGAGGCAGAAGAACAGCTGGAGCCTGTTCCCAGTGCGCACATGTGCAGAGTTGCCAGACAGAGGGAACAGCTAAAGAACAAGGGCCGACTCGGGAGTAAAGCCACAGGTGAATCGTCCCTCCCATAGGGAATCAAGAAGAGCAAAAGGGAGGGGAGGGGAGTTTGCAGGAGACAATTAGTTCAACTCCTTAGGGCAGTGGTTCCCAAACTTGGCAACTTTAAGACTTGTGGACTTCCAACTCCCAGAATTCTCCAGCCAGCTCTCAGAATTCTGGGAGTCGAAGCCCACAAGTCTTAAAGTTGCCAAGTTTGGGAACCACTGCCTTAGGGTGAGGGTCTGTTTAGCAGGCGATGCTTGGCAAGAAGTCTGCCATTGAGTGGAGTTTGGAAGATATCCGCCTTGCAGCTCTCCAAGCCTGATAAAGGCCTGCAGTTGTAAATTCACCTTTGAAAGGCTGTTGGCCGGGACTTTGCTGGAGAGGAATTAACTTTAAACTAAATAAAAGAGGCTTTATTAGGACGGCTTCATGGTCTTGGGAGGCCTAGGTCAGAACAATCAGTACTAGGAGGGGGTGAGATTTGTGGGGAGGGGGGGAAGGGGAAGGAGGAGGAGGATGCTACCTATTTAAGGTAATGAAATGTCGGCAAGAAAACAACCAAGCTCAGAGAACATCAAGGGCCTCCCCTCCTATGCATGTATAAAATCTGATAAATTTAATCAGGATTCTGATTGAATCAGCAGCCTTTTCTCCAGAAATCTGTTCCCCGAAGGATTTACAGGTAGTCCTCGGCTTACAACTTCAATTGGGTCCAAAATTTCTGTTGCTAAATGAGACATTCGTTAACTGACGTTTTGCTCCATTTTAGGCTCTTTCTTGCCACCGTTGTCACAGACCTTATCTGGCTTGGAGAGTTGCCAGGCCAATATCTGCAAAACTTGGCAAGGAGTCTCAGAGAGTCACGAAGCAATTAAGCGAACTAATTGTCTCCTGCAAACTCCATTCCCCTGTCGCTCCTCTTTTATTTCCTCTGGGAGGGGCCATTCGTCGTCCACCTGTGGCCTTACTCCCAAATCGATCCTTGTTCCTTAGCTGTTCCCTTCGTCTGGCAACTCTGCACATGCACACACTGGGAACAGGCTCCAGCTGTTCTTCTGCCACACTGATGTCTGACTCGGAAGGCAGCTGAAAACTGGCATATGTCTCTGGCCCCGTCTCTGCCCCCCTCCGAGAACCCTCATCAGAACCTTCCCCAGACTCCAGGACTAGCCCAGGTTCCTCCCCAACCTCCTCACTCTCCGAATCTGCTCCCAGCTCCTCTGGCTTCAGGCAAGCCACAACAGTCTGTTGCATCTTCAAATTGTTGCTAAGCAACCAGTCATAAGTCGAGGACAACCTGCACTCTGTTCCCCCCCCACACACACACACATTTCTATTTTTCAGCCTCTCAGAAGTGCCTCTCCTCTTTCCCCAGCAATTTAAAAACGGAGGTCTTATGAAGAGACGGTAGTGCATTTTTGACCTGTGGACTTCAACTCCCAGAATCCCTAAGCCGGCTCAGGAATTCTGGGAGTCGAAGTCCACACAGGTGTAAAGTGGCCCGCTCCTGATCTTTTGAATGGAAGCATCCCTGCTCCAAAAGGCTGAATCCTGATCCATCTCCTTGAACTCCAGAGGACCTAAAGAAGGGAAGGGGAGGAATATTGGAGGGCAGCCTTCAGGATGATTTGCAGGCGAGGAGTTTGTTCAGAGTGGAAAAATATGTTCTGTTTCTAATCTTAAACAAACTGTTTATCTCCAAAATGTTCTGCCAGACTATTGCTGTAAAAGAACCAGGAGTGTTTTACTTGGTCTGAGTTTGGGAACCAGACATATCTTGAGGCTAGCGTGGCTTGTGTCTGCCTTGCAACTGCTCCTCTGCGTGACCCCTGTGCTTCTGTGCCTCTTTGTCCGCCCCCCCCCCTCCATGTACCATTGCTAAGGA